AATATATGGGGTGTCCCAGAAATAGTGTTAGGCCTTGAAATGGGGAGGAGCCATGGTGATTTTAAACAACTTTTTCCTTTGCAAAAAAGTTGTTCGAGGCGTGGTTGTCGAGTTATTAGCAAAAATTACCGACCAACCAGAGCGTTCATATACAAGGCGGGCAGGAGCGCGGTAACCGCTTCGTGCGTTGCCTCGTCCGTATGCCGCGCTCGTGACGAGAGTACAGGATTAAAGAAATATTGCATACAAGAGCGAACTAACGAATTGGTTAAATGTCAGAGGAAAGAAAGCGATTAGTCGTTACTTACGTTCACGGAACAAATGTAACATACTCAATGAAATAAGTAACAACTTTATAAATTACAGAGTCGCTAAAATTATAAAAAATGGGAAAAGATCTAGAGTTGAACTTAATCGTTCGTCTTTAAGTTCACCTGCTCCTAGAAGAATGTTACTGGGTCAATGTGCCGAAACCCGGTACCTGAAGATAAAACATGTGGCCAGCAGTGATATTTAGAGCAGGTCACTGACAGATATGGCCATATGTTTTAGTTTCGAGTGTCAGGCTTCGGCACATTGACCCACTGAAATTCTTCTAGGAGCAGGTGAATTTAAGGAGGTTCAGGGGTATCATCGGGGGGCGTGAGGGACGCGAGGAGGTGCCTATCCTTTAACACAGGACAGCAGCAGGGATGACAACTTAAAATAAATTATTGTATACGATCCGAAAACAATATTTTACATAAAAAAATTATGTAAAAGACGTTTACAATGTTATAGATAATGTTTTTAAACATGTGTACGCAATATGATGACTTTCTTTTAATAAATTTTCTAAATTGGAAAAGTGAAAGAAAATCGAACAAATTTGGCAACAGCACATAGATATATTTGTACGTTGGTACTGACTGATCGTCTCGCACACTCAAGTTCGTTAGGTTACGCACACACGGACAAGTGTCTTCGTGAGTCGTGCTGTTGCCACATCTCTTACTAAGCCGTCCATGATTTGAAATGCAGTAGTCCGTGATGCTAAATTATTGTTAATTACGCTGCAAATTGAACGGTAACGTACCTTGATAAAAATATTAAACGATTCCTGTTTATTTTTTCTATCAATATATATTAATAAGTTTCGATTCTCTACGTATTTTCAACTTGATTTTCTATTTTGAACAGTCAGAATACTTGTATCCCATAAGAA